AAGTAAACATCTTTCTGGTATTCTTTGCTTTCAGCCAAGATCCATCTGACATCAGCAATGATATCCCTTGTTCCATGTCCTCTTCTGAATCCAGCTTGTATTTCTGGAAGTTCTCTGTCAATATACTGCTGCAACTGTTTTTGAATTATCTTCAGTAAGATTTTAAGAAGCTCTGGTAACACACTGCCTAAGGCATCTGACTGCTAACCAGAAGGTTGGTGGTTCAAACCCACCAGCCACTCTGTGGAAGCAAGACTGGGCAATCTACTTCCATAGTGATACAGCCTTGGAAACCCAAGGGGGTGACTATGAGTCAGAATCGACCTGACGGCAGTGGGTTTGGTTTACATATACATGTATGTAAATATGCACATGTACATACCTGTTTCCCTTTGTTCATTCCTGATGTTTCAAATTTCCTTCTGGTACAGCTGCTATCTGAAGAACTTCCTTTAGCAATTCTTTTAGAGCAGGTTCTACTTTTCCTTTATATCAGAAAACTTTATTTCATCTTCACTCCTAAAGGGTCTTTTCAGCCTAGAATTCTGGATTAACAGTTGTTTAATTTGTGCACTTTAACACCATTATTCTACTCCCTTCTTGCTACAAGGTTTCTGAAGAAAAACCCATGTCATGAAAACTGCTGTTGCCTGTGGGTTACATGTTTCTTTGGCTGCTTTCAAGATTTTTTCTTTGTCTTAAAGTTTTTAGCTGCTTGATTTTGATGTGTCAGGGCAAGGATTTCTTTATTATGTTTTGATTATTCTGTACTCAATGTATCCATGGGTTTGTATCTTTTGCCAAATTTGGAAAGTTTCAGCCATTGTTTCTTCTAATATTTTTTCTACACTTTCTCCTCTCCTTCATTGATACGAATGTTAGACATTTTTGCTTCGTCCCACAGGGCGCTGAGATTCTGTTCAATATTTTTTCTCTGTTGTTCCGATCAGATTTCGATTTATCTTGACATTCACTATTTCTTCTGTCATCTCTATTCTGTTGTTGAGACCATCCAGTGAGTTTATTTTGGTTATTCTATTTTTCATTCTTCGTTTAGATTTTCTAGTTCTTTACTCAAACTTTCTATCTTTTCATTTGTTTCAAGAGTGTTCACCTTACTTGTTGGAGCATTTTTATCATAGGTGCTTTGTCAGATAATTCCAACATCTCTATCATTTTGGTGTTTATTGTCTTTTTCCCATGTAAACTGAGACTTTTCTGTTTTTTTTTTTTTTTTAATAATGGAGTAATACTGGATTGTGTCCTGGACATTCTGAATATTATGGGATGGTATCATGTTTAAATCTTTGAAGAATATTGACTTTTTTTTTTCAGGCTGCAAGACTAACCTTCTGTGAGTTGTAGTTTCAACGTACATTCTATTTGCAAAGGCTTTGCGATGATATTCACCTCAGTTCTGCATATACACTACCCAGTGGCCAACTTGGGTCCTAGGCAGTGATCTATCCCTTACTCCAGTTATCAAAGACCACAGTATGCTCTGTAGGGTCAGATACACGTATGAGTAGCTGAGAGTAAGTATACCCAGGTTCATCAACAACTTTATAGGACTGCTTTCAAAAGATAGCCCCTGGACCAAGTTTGCTGGTCTGATAGAGCCTGGTGGCAACCTTGAGACTATGACCCCTAGGTCCCCTTCAGGTCTGGAATTGAACCCACTCCTGTGTCTTCTTCCAGCCAAACAAAAGACAGGCACATGAGCTGGACATTTATATTAGGTACATATACTCCTTGGAGAGATCAATCATGGGCAAATAGAAGGGCTGTGTATACACAGGGAGACAGCTCAGGGGGCAGGAGTGGATGAGAGGGAAGGACACAGAGAAGAGGTGGCTATGGGGAGGAAGTGGGAGGAAAGCTGTTGCACTGTGGGAGATTACAGTCAATGTCACGAGACAAAGTATACATGAACTGCTCTATGGATGATGAATTTGCTCTGTAACTTTCACCCAAATCACAATAAAAATAAAAAAAAATAGCCCCTGTCTGCGACCTCCCTAGTACTTCCTGGTTCCCTGGGTCTTGCCTTTTTGGCACTCCAGCCAAATATCTGGTCCTTTATTTATTCCTATTCTGCTATGCACTTCCTGTGACTGCACCCATTTCTGGGCACAAGCAGGAAGAGGTCAGAAACAGAATTAAAGTCATGGAGGTTCAGCCCATCCTCTTAGGACCATAGCTCCTTTGATCAGAGAGAAAACTTCTCCTTCAGTCTCAGGCTTCTGCACATCCCGTGGACTACCACTGGAGGATCAGAAAAGAGAAAAAAAGGAGGAAAAAATGGAAGGGGCATTCCCCCATTTTCTCTCTGAGCATTAGGAAATTCATTTCTTCCTCGAGAAAGAACTAGCAGACTTCTGCTCCTTTTACTGTTCACACCAATGCCCACTTGGAGGATCTCCTGGGAGGAAAACCATAGTGAAAGCACTGCAGGTTTGATGGTGCTTCACATGCTGGCCTTGCTGGCCTTCTCCAATCCAACATTGCTGCTTGCTTGGCTGCTTGCTTTTCAGAGTCCTCAAACAGCTGCTCTACACATTCTGTCCTTTTTAGTGGGAAAGACAAGATAAGAGTATACTTGGTCCACCATTCCCCGAACTGGGACCCTCTCAAATCTAGAATGCTATTATTATTTTCACATTGTCATTCCACAGGAAATGAAAAGTCCCCAGTATCTGCTCACAGCGTCGAGTGCATCATACGTGACCTTGTAGCTCTTCAGCTCTAGCTTCAAAGGCATTTAGAAAATATGTAAAGAGAAGCAAAAATGTTTCTCAAGTGACAACCTGACTTACTTGAAACCAAAACAAAACAAACAAACAAAAAAAACCCCAAAAAACCAAAGTCATTGCCATCGAGTCAGATCTGACTCACAGCGACCCCTCCTTGGGTTTCCGAGGCAGTATCACCATGGAAGCAGATTGCCCAACCTTCCTTCCGAGGAGTGGCTGGTGGGTTTGAACCACCAGCCTTCTGGTTAGCAGACAAAATGCCTTAGGCACTACACCACCAGAGCTCCCGACTTACTTGAAGAGTAAGTGAATAAGTAAGTATAAATGTCCTCAATTCAGAATCTGAAAGTGGAAAAGATCCATCACACAACGTAAAAATCTTTGTAATGGGATTGGGATGTAGGGACCAGGAACACAGCAGCCCTCAAATGTACTTCAAGAAGTTTACTTCTGCTCTGCCAGATGCCTACAAGAAGACTGTGCTGGGGCATTTCTCAAAGGAAAAACAAATGCCGAGCAGAAAGGAGAAGTTCTGAGTGGGGACTGAGATGCCGGAGTCTATCCCGGTAGTCCCAACACTCACCAGACTGACAAGAATTAGGAACAAGGCCCCACCGTGGAACTCAGGTAGACAATTTTCAGAAACAAACAAACATCAGTAAATCCTAAAAAACAACTCTATACTTCAGGGATGGGAAAGGGAATCCCAACTCACCTGAGACATGGCTTTAAGAGGTCCGACTCCTGTCACCACTTCCTCTTCCCGGCTCCTCTGGAGAAGGGCTTTGTCCTGAGAAGGCAGAGCTGGGGTAGGACTGAGGAGTGGTGAGAGACTGAGGAGCTCTGATAACCACAGCCCCGAAACCTTGTCTTCTGTTGCTTTCCTCTGTTCTCACGTCCCCCACTGTCCCCTCACAGCCCAGGGCAGTTGCTGACAGAAATGTAATTCACAGCTGTGGTTCCCTTGGGCTCTGGGTTTGCAGGCTAAGCACAACCTCTCTCTGAAAGCCATCTACTCATTAACGACAGAGATATACCAGGGGTGCTGAACTGATTAATACTCTCATTTAATCTCCACCATCGTGAAAAGGAGCATCATCACCGTTTTACTCATGAAAGCCCTGGTAAGTGAAGTCTTTTGTACAAATCAGGCAGCTTGCAAAAACGGAGCCCAGCTGCCAACCCAGGTTTGCCTGGCTCCACCACCAAGTTACATGCTCAAGAGGGCACTGCTTAAGTGGACTACGCCCCCTGGTGGCTCAGTGGAAAAAGATGTGGCAGTTGGCTTTGCTAAAGATTTATAGTCTTGGCAACCTATGAAGCAGTTCTACTGTATATGAGTTAGAATCCACTCCATAACTACGGGTTTGTTTGTTTGTTAATTTTTATTGTGATTTGGGTGAAAGTTTACAAAGCAAATTCATTTTCCACACAGCAGTTCCTACTTATTGTGTCTCAAGACATTGACTACAAATTGCCACAATGTAACAGGTCTCTTCTCATTTCCTCCACCTGGTTCCTTCTTCCCTGCCTCCTTCCCTCCCATGCACTCCTGGCCCCTGAGCTGTCTCCCTGTGCATACACTGCCCTTCTATTCTCCCATGATCAATCTCTCCAAGAATCTGTTCTACCATGATTGATCTCCAAGGATAATGTAATTGATCCTCTCCAAGGATCTCCTAGTGTAAATGTTCACCCTGTGTGCCTGTTTGTTGTTTGGCTGGAAGCCAAGGGAGTGAGTTCAATTCCAGACCTGAAGGGTAGCTAGGGGCCATAATCTCAGGACTTTCATAAGGCTCTATCAGACCCGCAAACCCAGTTTCCACATTTTTTTTTCTCTTAATGATTTTGAGTTTTGTTCCACATTGTTCTCCCTCTCTATCCAGGATCTCCTACAAAGATCCCCCTCCAAGTGGTTGACAGTGGTAGCCAGGTACCATCTAGTTCTTCTGGTCTCATAGTCATATAGGCTGAGGATCACATGGTCTACCAGTTGACTATGGGTTTTTTTTTGTTTTGTTTTTTGTGCTCCTTGTCAGGAAGATTCTAAAATGACTACCTTGGAAAAAGCCATCTTCCACAGAAAAGGCATTAGCTTTTTTACAACAGAAAGTACATGTGGCTTGCAGATAATGGAACCAAAGTAATTATCATGTTTCCTCTTTGGAGTGATGAAAACACTCTGGAACTAGATAGTGGTGGTGGTGGTGGCACAACGTTGTGAATGTACCAATTATAACTGAACTGTCACTTTAAAACAGTTAAAATACCACATTTATGTTATGTACATTGTGCCACAATTAAAACAAAACAAAACAAAAAGCCAACTAACCCTAAAGTGGGGATTTGTGGCAAAGACAGCTCATTAACTGCCTCATATCCATTTTCCAAAAAAGAAAAAAAAAAAAAAAGTCACAACATCCAGGTTCTCGTTTTGCTTTGTGACAGACTACAGTTTTGAAAAAGTCACCTGACCTCCCCAAACTAAGTTTTTTCAGAGTAAAGGATAAAAGTACTTGACATAAAATACAGGCACTGTGTTCAGGGATTCCCTGAATGCCCTAATTCTAGCCTCTTTTCCCTAAACCTTTCACCTTCTCCAAGTGTTATAAAGGTGATAGTAACAATGAACCCTTATTGTGGCAGGGACTACACCAAGCACTTTACATGTCTGAGCTCATCAAATCTTTACAACAGTCCTGTGAGATAAATAATATTATCATCTCCATTTTACACAAGTGGAGCTGAGGTCAGAAAGCTCAAGGGAAAAGAAAAAAACATAGAAAGAAAGAACTTGCTCAGTGCAAGTTTTGGGATCTGAATCCTTGACGTTATTTAACCCTCTCACCTGACCAACTGGTTTCCTCAACTGTGCAACCCAAAACTCATCCAAAGGGGTTGAAAATCCCTACCTCAGACAGTTGAGAGGTTTCCATGAAAGCCAGCACAGAGAGGGGATCACAGAGTCAGTGTACCCTGGATCTGCATCCTGGCTCTTCCACTTTTAATAAGCAATTACTTATCCTCTCTGTGCTTTGGTATCCTCATCTGTAAAAAAAAGAGAGAGAGAGAGAGAGAGAAAGGGAGTTCTGACTTGATAACATGAGTTTTGGTGTTACTTACCCAAAAGGTCTTAGAAAGGTGCCTGGCAGGTAGTAAATACTCAGTAAACATTAGGCATTACTGCCTGCAGTGAAATAAGCAAAGTACAAGAAGGCTGAGCACTGCTCCTTTCCCCTCACTCTCCAGTTCAAACCCAACAGCGTGAGAGAGGAATAGAAAGGCTTTCTTTCACTGACTAAACCCATCACCATCTAGTCGATTCCAACTCATGGCAACCCCATGTATTGCAGATTCCATAAAAACCAAACTCACTGCCATCCAGCCGGCTCCAACTCATAGTGAGCCCTCCTTGGGTTGCCAAGGCAGTATCACTATGAAAGTAGATTGCCCAACCTTCCTTCCAAGGAGTGGCTGGTGGATTTGAACTGCCAGCCTTCTGGTTAGCAGTCAAATGCCTTTGGCAGTGCAACAATTATTTGTTGTTGTTGTTTGCTGTGGAGTTGGACCCAACTCACAGCGATCTCTCTTTGGGTTTCCGAGGCGGTATCACTATGGAAGTACATTGTCCAATCTTCCTTCTGAGGAGTGGCTGGTGGGTTTGAACTGCCAGCTTTCTAGTTAGCAGTCAAATGCGTTAGGCACTATGCCACCAGAGCTCCTGTATTACAGATTAGAACTGTCCAAAGGGTTTTCTAGGCTGTAATCACCAGATCTTTCCATGCAGTGCCACTGGGTGGGTTGGAACCACCAATCTTTAGGCTAGCAGCTGATCACAACATGCTTGCCAGGAATATTTTCTTTCAGTGACTAAGAGGTGAGTAAGCCACAGGAAGGCTGGGAACCCTCAGCACTCTGGATGGAGCTGTGAATCTCACCTTCCTCCCAAGCCCCAGACCAGTGATATATGCAAAAGCACTCTGACAGGTAAACAACTAAGTGCCAAGACCCTTCTTGAAGAGCACTGTCATGTTCTGTGGGTCCTTGGAGGTATCACAAAAAGACCTAGAAGGGGAGGTGTCTGGTCAAGTGACCCTGGACAAGTCAGGGTTCGTCACTGGCCTCTGCTTCGTTATCAGGCTCAGGGGAGCCTCCAAATCATTAGACTTCCACATCCACCCAACTTGAAGGCCAGGACATCCTGCTCCAGCACTTGGGCCCTAAAGGACAGCACCCCGAAACCTCAACTTCCACTCTTCCTGGGGCACCCAACCGAACTGTCACTCTTACCTCTGTACTCAGGCTCCATGGTCTCCTGAGCTCTCCCTGCTCCAGGTACAGCAGGCAAGGCATGCTTTAGTGTCAGCAGCCCAACTGGGCTCTTCTGCAGGACTAGGGCTGTGGCCACACTAGGCTCTTGGTGGCTGAGTGTGTGTGGGGGAGGGTCCCCTCCAGGAGCGTTTCCAGCTCTTTGCCACTTCCCACACTCCATTCGTGCCAATCCACACCGGCTCCTACATGCTCCTGAGATGTGCATGCACGTGCAGAGTAACACAGTAACACAGTTGTCACACGCACCCCCTCCCAGCCAGTCACATCTCACACATACACACACACCAGGCACATCTCACATACGCCCACCTTTGCTCCAGGCAATACTCTAGTCACAGTCCCAAGTCAGTCACATTTCACACATGCAGCCTGCACCTATCACAGTCCCTCCCAGCCAGTCACACCTCACAAATGCACAGTCCCCACCTGTAGTCACACTTCAGTCACAGTGCCAAGTCAGTCACATCTCACACATCCCCACACACCAAGGCACACACTCCGGTCACACCTCTCAAGCCAGTCATATCTCACATGCAGCCTCCACTCGTCACAGTGGCCCCCTGCCACTTACACCTCACAAATGCACAGTCCCCACCCTCAATCACACACTCCAGTCACAGTCCCAAGTCAATCACTTCTCACACATGCGAACACCCCATAGTCACACACATACCCACTTTCTCCCCCCAATCACATACTCATACGAGTCTGTCACAGAGGCCTCAAGTCACACTTGCACAGTCACGCCAACTCCCCCGCGTCTCCCCCAGGTCCGGGTTCAGTCACAGCCGCCCGCCCCGCCCGGGCTTTCTCTTCAGAACTCCGCCGGAAGCGCACAAGCCCCGACTTCAGCCCCTGCCGGAAATGGGTGTGTCCTCTTTCCGCAATGACCCCTGGGAAACGTAGTCCTGGATGGGGGCAACGGCAAATCTGCCCCAAACGGGTCTTCCCTGGGTCTGGAGACTGCCCTGGGCCCTGTATGGATGTCGAGCCTGGATTTTAGAAGTACAAGCCGCCCGATAAAGCGAGAGGCACCCCGGAGCTCTGGGAGCTGGCATCAGAATTGGAGTGCGCAGGCGTGAAGCGCTGCAAATTGGGGTGGTGGTGGTGGTGGTGGTCGTGGTGGTGGTGTTACAGTGCCACTGATTCCGACTCACAGAGCCCCTATAGGACAGAGAAGAACCTAGGCTGTAATCGTTAGAGAAGCCAAAGGATTTCCTAAGGTTTACAAAAAAAAAAGACAACACTGCTCTCGAGTGTGACCGACACATAGTGACCCCTCCTTGGGTTTCTAAGGCGGTACCTAGGAGCTCTGGTAGCATAGTGTCTAAGGCACTTGACTGCTAACCAGAAGACTGGCGGTTCAAACCCAACAGCCACTCCTCGGAAGGAAGATGGGGCAATCTACTTTCCGTAGTGATTCTACCTCGGAAACCCAAGGAGGGGTCGCTATGAGTCAGCTCTGACTCAATGGCACATAACAACAACAATAACATCTCTACAGAAGTAGATTGCCCCACCTTCCTTACGAGGAGTGGCTGGTGGGTTTGAACTGCCAGCCTTCTGGTTAGCAGTCAAGTGCCTTAGGCCCTACACCACCAGAGCTCTTTGTTTTTTTTTTTTTTTTTAAGAGCTCTGACAGTTCAGTGCCTAAGGTATTTGAGTGCTAACTAGGAAGTTGGCAGTTCAAACCTACTACCCAGCCCGCAGAAGAAAGATGGGGCAATCCACTTCTGTAAGAATTGCTGCCTTGTAAACCCAGTGGGGGTCTCTGTGAGTCGGAATTGACTCAATGGCAGTGGGTTGAGTTTGGTTTCTTTGGATGAAGGATTTGAGGCTGGAAAAAGGCATTATTTTTAGTCATGAAGTGGGCGGGATTATGAGGGTCAGATGTGAGTGCAGGAAGTACCAAGATGGATTCCACTGCGAAGGATGGAACAAAGAGGCAGTCTGTCGCAAAGGCTTCTGGGATGCTTGGCACGCCTCATTCTGGGACGTTGCTCGCATGTGATGTGTTTGGAGCCTGGTTCGAGTCCCAGCGAAGGACTCCTGTTCTCGACTGCCCCTGGTGGAAGGTCAAGTTGTCGGTCATGTCGGCTTGGACTGAGCATGCGCTGCACCTGGTGAAGAACTTGAAAACAGCTCAGAGGGTCTGTCAGCATTTCACAGCTGGTCAAGCTTGTAGGGGTTTGAGGTGTAGGCTTATCTTGCCTAAGAGCCTGGCTTGTTGATCCCAAGCAGTTCTCTGCCTCCAGCAGCAAGAATACTGAGTTGGCTGCTACTTAATTCAGCCAGCCCGATTCTCTACGCGTCTCAGTGTGTGACTGATGTGGGATGATCACCCAAAAGGGTGACCTTTGACTGACCCGTCACTCACTGTGGTTCCACACAGGCAGCCTTGCTGATCCTTGAAAGAGCCAACCTTGTTCTCATGCGGGAGCCTTTGCAGGTACTTTCAGCCCTGAGAGTCCTCCCTTGGCCAGGAGAATATGGCTGCCTTTACCACCCCTTATAGGGTCCCCACAGCACCCCCATGACATCATCCTGTAGTGCTTCATGGCTCCCTACTAGTTATCATTCTCCGTGTGGTCTTCTATGCTGTAACCCACACCTATTTTGTTTCTTGCTAGGAAGAGAATTCCATGAAGCACATACTTTGTTAATCCTGTTCAAAGTTCTATTCCCAGTCTCTAAAATAGTGTTTGGCACATAGTAGGTGCTCAGCAAAAAACATCACTTAGTCCGGCATAAGTAGTCCCATCAGTACACAAACATCCCCCAGAAGTAAGCCACCCAATGATACAAGGCCACACAGTCACACCGAGTCCAGCTTTCCTGGCTCCAATGTCCCTCGGGTGCCATGGTCTCCGTAATGAAGCCGAGGACTTCTGCGAAGACACTTTCTCCAAGGGCTGCAAACGGTATTTCAGGGTTCGAAGCGTCTTGTGATTGGTGAGTTATGTAAAATGACAGTGATCGTTGTAGTTCAGCTCGAACATGTAAAAAACTTGAAAGTCATCACGCCCTTCCTCGCCATAGGCACAATGTGGAGCAAACTGGAAATCAATGGCTTTCTAGATCCATCAGAGAACTGGGGTCACCAAGCAAACTGCCACTCTGAAATCTGGAGGAACGGGCAAATACAGAGAAATCAGCAGGGGTCAGCTGCCCGGAAGCAGAGGTCACCAGAGCCAGGCCCTGCCTGGGAGGAACACTTATGTGAATGGTGACACATGTTTGGAGGCTGACAGTGGAGGCGCTTGACAGTTAAACACTCCCGCAACTCCACTAGATTTTCATGAAATCTGAGAAAACTGTTCCAAGAAGGGGGAGGGGAAAAGTAACCATTCTGAATTATGCCTGAGCCGCCTCCCTGACAAAAACCTGCCCTCCAAAGAAAACCATCTATCAGAGCCTTATTTGACCTGATTTGAGCTGAGGGAGGGGCAACTAGCCGGCTCCAGTGCCTTCTAGCATTCTTGTCTGTGTAAGGGCCAGGAAAGAAAAGAAAGATGAAGAAGAAGCCGTTTTTAAGGTTACAGGCCAGGGACTTAGGCTCAGTATAAACCTAAGATTTAATCATAAAGTTACAGAATGCTTGCTGTCCTTTTCCAACACTTTACCATCAAATCAGCAGGACTCTGTTGTTATGTGCCGTTGAGTCGGACCTGACTCATAGCGACCCTCCTTGGGTTTCCGAGGCAGTATCACTATGGAAGTAGATTGCCCCATCTTCCTTCTGAGGAGTAGCTGGTGGTTTTGAACCGCCAGCCTTCTGGTTAGCAGTCAAGTGCCTTAGGCACTACACTACCAGAGCTCCTAGCAGGACTCCAGGAGATTACAACTGAGAAAGCTACAAGACACTCTATTTAAGAAGGAGTTCTTAGGGAAATACAAAGGCAACAGGGAAGATAAAAATAAACAAGCAAACAAGGAAATTAGAGGAAACTGAAGCTTCTTCTATATACTGCCACAGCAAACATTACACACGGCACAGTTCCTAGCCAGATTAACATAAAACCTCCTATTACCTAGTTACTTGGTTCTTATTACCCAGGACAGCATACTTGACTTTCAACAAAAAAACTGTAAATCATGCAAAAAGGCAAGAAAAACACAATCAGAAGAAACAAAGCAAGAGTCAGACTCAGTTATGACACAGGTATTGGATTATCAGAGAAACTTAAACAATTAGTATTTGTATATTCAAAGCACTAATGGGAAAAGCAGACAACATACAAAAGGAGATGAAAACTCAAAGAATTGAAAGGAAATGCCAGAAAGCAAAAACACTTTAACAGAAACGAGGGCTGCCTTTGGTGCGCTGGTCAGTAGAGTGTGGACAAAACCTGAGAGAGTTTGCACTAGTTGACCTGCCTTGCAAGAAAGGTTAAAAAAAAAAAAAAAAAAAAAAAGTTCTTCAGAGAGAAGGAAAATGATATAAACTCAAAAAAAAAAGAGAGAGAGAGAGACAACGAAACAAAAACTACTCTGGCAGCTGTAAAGTGGTCCTTAAAGTGGTCCTAATGTCTAAATTCTTCTTCTTTTTGATCTGCAATCTTGGGATTCATATATTTCTAGAAAAAGGAGTTGAGAGGGAAAGAAAATGGCCATTTTGCTCCTGAAGCAGAACTTTTTAAATTGATTCCTCAAGTCAGTGAAACTATGTTTTTGAGTTCTAGCCACCCCCTAAGGATCTCTGGTGATACAGTGCTTAAAGCATTAGGCTGCTAACGAAAAGGTCAGTGGTTTGAACCCACCAGCCACTCCATGGCAGAAAGATGAGGCAGTCTGCTTCTGCAAAGACTGACAGCCTTGGAAGCCCTGTGGAGAAGTTCTACTCCATCCTCCAAAGTAGCTACGAGTCAGAATTGACTGGATGTCAGTGGTTTTTTGGGGGGGAGCTACCCCTTGCTACTATGGCCTGGAGCCCGCTCTTCTGGTGTTAACTGCTCTATGGTTCTGCCCACATTGGTTGCTCTCCTGTGTGCCCAGATAGTTTTTAAAAATGTACACTGTTCATAATTGCTATCTATGGACGGGCTGGTCCTATATGAACTATAAAGAGTTGAACTTGACTCCTAGTATCTGAATGCTGATGATATTTCTCTCTTCTGTATGTCTTAGTTTTATGGTAAATTTTCTAACTTTACTTCTCCTGTTTAATCTACTTTCTAGGAGGGTTAGCCTCCCTGTCCTGTTCACTAACTTATTCTTTAACTTCCTATTATTTCACCCATTGTGGTTTTAACTATTATATTTTTATACTTAAAATTTCTACTCAGTTCCTTTGAATACTTTCTTTCTTGCTTCATATTGCCAATCTTTCCGTACTTCCTTAAGTATACTTGTTATTTTTTAAATCTGACTATGCCTGTCCCAGTTACTTTGCTTCAGAAGGGGTGGATCATATGTCCACGTAGCAGCACTCACTTCCTGGACTCCCTTGCAGCTAAGGGTGTGCACGTGACCCCACTCTGGCCCAGGAGATGCAAACAGAAGTGGGCAGATGTATGTCAACATCTTAGAGGGGTGCACTCTGCTGATATTTTTCTCTGCCCTTCACCTTTCCCTTTCTTCCCTCCTAGAATTCAGACACATGATGGTGAAAGTCACTGAGGATGCTAGAGCGGTTGGTTGAGGTCTTAATGCCTTCTTTGATCAGCAACTCCCTGCCTCCATAATTCTCATAGAACTTAAAAAAAATACAAAACAAAACAAAACACCACCCATTTCTGCTTCAGTCACTTTATGCAGATCTCATTTCCTTGCAGCTGAATGCAGTCTGAGTGATACAGTTACTTATCAAGAGTGATCAGTACTATCCTGTAATGTGAGAACGTAGTTGCAAGTTCATCATCATACTTGACTCCGATTGGCAAAAATCCAAAACCTCTCACTACACACT